TCCACGAGAGGCATGGCCTCATCCTGGGCATGGTCCAGTGGTGTGTCCATTGCAGAAATTTGTGCGGCGGCCGGCTGGTCCTCGATGTCCACCTTTGTCAGGTTCTACAACCTAGACGTCCCTGCTTTACAGGCTCAGGTCCTTTCTGCTTAGCTGTCTCTCTGAGCTCAAATGCTCCAGTAACCATATTCCCGCCCTAAGGCTGTTGCTGGGTTTGACTATGTCTCAAACCCACTGAAGTTCCCACGTCTGGGCTTAGCTTCCAGCACGCTCTCGGCCCTATCTAGTTCCGAGGCTGTGCGAAGCTCTAAGAACGATTATGTAAGGCCAGGGCCCCCTTCTGGACGCCCTGGACAATTACCATATTGACCCAAATATAAGACGATGCTTTTTTCTTGGAAATACATCTGAAAAAACGCGGTCGTCTTATATTCAGGGTCTAGACTTTGACATGTCAATAATACTTTCAAAACAAAAATTCAAATAGGAAAAATATGCAATATGAAAATAATTGAAGACAAAATGTGTTTTACTGAGAAAAAACAAGATTTGGTTTTTATAAAGCCTTTTTCCAAAAGGTACACCTGGAAAAAGGGGGTCGTCTTATAATCAGGGTCGTCTTATATTCGGGCCAATACGGTACTTATAAGTCGTTCATCTACCATAGCACGGTGTGATTGAATAGGTTCCCGTAGCGTCTGCCAGATTTTGGTCTGATATTCAAAGCAGTTAACACCTTGGCATGTTAACTCATCTACTTTTACAAGAGATACCTACAGAGAAAGAGTAGGAAGCATGAGTGATAAAATAACTGAAAAAAGTTTACTGAATAATCTTTGTTGAATTCCTCCTTATGATCAGTCTGTCTTTGTCTGACTAGCATAGATTCCACAACTGTTATTTTACAAAGCAAGTACAATGGAAAATTGTTGCTCCCTAACATAGTCTTGTGATGTGAAAAGCCTATCAAGCTTATCAAGATTACAAATGGAAAACGAAAAATGAAAACAATAAACCTTTACTAGGCTGTTAACTTAAATGATCAACTGCACACACCTCTACTAAAGCATGACTTGAACAGTGGTTTCGCGCTGATGATGTAACATCCAGGTAGGCACACCCAGGGTGTATTTGGTGCTAGAACTAGTAGTAAAGAGGAAGGGATGATCTTGTTTACTCACACTGCTGCCATCTGAACTGAGGCGCCTATACAGAGATCTAGATGTCTTAAATTATAAAAATCTTAACGCTAATAGGATATAAGTATGAATTTAGAAAGAAAACTTACCTTTTTACTGTCTGCCATCATCCTATCCCGCTCTCTGTCGTCGTCAACAGCCAGTCCGAAGACGAGCAGCCAATCAATACAGGATTTGGCCAATAGCATTTGTTAACACAGCAAGGATATGTTTGGGCCCCGCCCCCTGACTGTCAAAACAGTGTGTTCAGATCTGCGTGCATGTGCAGACATTACTTGCGCGTGTGGTATCTGCCAGGACTCGCAGTTTTGTTATTTGTCCTTGCAATGTGTTGATGTGTGCACACGATCATATTGTTTTGTGCTCGATTTTGGAATTTGCCATTTCTTCAGGTTCAGGTTTTATGTGCGAGCTTTTGTTAATACACTTACGCTGTTTTGTCCAACTTTTCATGCCATAGTAGGGCTACATTTCTTGGCTGCCACTTGAAAGGCAGCCTTCCTTCATTTAGCTTATTTTGAAGGATGCTTCAGATATGTCCTTCGTGTCGTTAAAAGGTAGTTTCAGTTTCATTGTCCTGAACTCCTTTTTTATTAAGTTCATGTTTTCCTGTGTCTTCGTTACGGTTTCCCTGTTCCCATTGCTCGCTTGTTGCTATATAGTTATTCATTATGTTGTGCACCTGTTTGTAGTTTAGTTCTTTTAATACCGAGTATATATGTCCTGTTTGTTCTGCCATGTGTTTGGTATTTTATTTACTTTATGTGTGAAGTTATGTTGTTTCCTCACCATTTGGTTTACCTTCTTTTTTTTTTGTAACTTTGTTAACAAAGTTATGACTGCATATAGATCCACATCTCCTCTCCTCGTCTGCCTGCATCCTCCAATCACCCTCAAACATTTGCTCATTCCAATTAATGAAAAAGAATTAGCAGAAAATGAATCAGCACTGAACTCATCCAATTTCCAATACGAACCTTCTTTGATGTGGAAATCTTCTCTATACTTCTTCTGTTCAGTCCATTGAGGTCGGGTATCCGCTATTTTAAACATGAACACACTGGAGACACTTTATAGCAGAAAATGAAGTTGTAATTCTAATTCACAGAGACTTATCCAGGCGGAGTTGAAGCATGATCAGAAAATCAAGCGTAGCGTTAGTTCTGGCAGGTCACGTTAGTCAAGCTCGTATCAGCTGACTCTCAGCTGATCCCCATCTACCTATGGGAATACCACACCTATCTAAGCATTCATATATAAGGTCCCTCAGTATTATCAGCAGCTTTCGCATTGCTCAATAGCTAATTACCCTCCTCCATCCCCAGATCCTCCTCTGTCAGTCCGCATTCAGCCTTCTGATTCTCCTTTGAATCAGACTAATTCTAAAATGTGTACATAATGTTATTGAACTTTAACGATATCTGCAATACATTTATGTTGGTTCTGTTCTGTTTACCCTGGGGGGGTTATCGCTGCTCTCCCTGCTCTCATCCATGCTAGGCTGCATGGATGCGCAGGGAGTTCTTGCCCAGAACAGAACCATACCGCCAATCCAAACTGTATGCTAATTGTCAATCATCTTTGACGATAGTGGTCCTGACAGAAAGAGGGATTTTAGGCCATAAAATCCCACGGTTTCCATTGATATTTAAATGTACTACTTGTACAGCTAAAGAGAGAGTGTGCGAGAAAACTGCATGTGAAGAGGTTATGTACAATTCTTTGAAAGTATGCTGTTTTTTTTCTGTTTTATTTTAAGTTCCCAACCATATGTTGTGTAAATAAAATATAAGGTGTGGATAAAAACTATCATAAGAGCTGGGACTGTATCTACTGCAAACCACCTGTTTGAGTGAGAGAGGGCCGAAAGTTTTATTGTCTTTGTTTATCTGGGAATGAAATGGATGGAGATCTTCTTTATTCTGATTAGAGGAATGAACTCTGGCTGCATACGAAATCGTATCTCTTGAGTAAGCAAAAGTTGGGACGATGTGTAAAATATTAATAAAAACAGAATGCAATGATTTGTAAATCTCATAAACCCATACTTTATTCACAATAGAACACAGAAAACATATAAAATGTTTAAACTAAGGAAATGTAAAATTTTAAAGAAAAAATAAGGTAATTTGGAATTTGATGGCCGTCTCAAAAAAGTTTACACAGGGCCATGTTTACAAGTCTATATAACTCTAAGTCTCCAGTCTATATAAGTCTGGGACCTGAGGAGACCAGTTGCTGGAGTTTTGGGAGAGGAATGTTGTCCCATTTGTGACAAATGTTTTCAAAGGGTGAAAGTTTTTTTGGAATCGGAGTTGTATGAATGTAACCTGGATGTATAAATCCGCCATGTTGTCATTATCATGTGACCTACCAGCGTCAGCTGCAATGGCTTTACTGCTATTCACAAATCCTCTCCCATGGCCTCATGGGATAATAACGTGTCCATTGTATAAGCACTTCAGAATCTCTTCAGAAGTAGTAGGTCATGTGGGTACTCTTTGCCTACTCCAGGCAAGCAAGTTTCTTAAAGTGACGCTTCATATTACAACATTTTCACACACATACCTCCAAACACCATTGAATGAAATTGTCTCATTGTAATGGTTACACTGTTTTGTAGACTTCTATATTGTAGCCAGCACCTTAATTGATCACAATGGATCGAATGGCTCTTAAAACTGACCTTCATCTAATTCATACTAATTTACCTTCATGTGTAAGTACAGTAGAGTAATTTTTATCAAATATTTCTTTACTTTTTTCTCCAAGATATTATACACCTCAAATCATTTAACTCCAATATAATACATGGGCAAATTACCTTAATTAAAAAAATAAATAAATAAAATTTCTTGTAATGAAACAACACTTAAAATAAAGGATTAAAATACAATCTGTATCAAGCTAGGAGTTGAACCGTTTTCAATTCACCATTTATATGCTCATTTTGTGTGTACATTACCTGCCTTCTTTCTCCTTCTTTTAGTTTAAATAATTTTTAAGTCTTATGGAATAGTTCTCTCTCTCTCTCTCTCTCTCTCTCTCTCACTTTTAATTTCCTTCCTGTATGATATTTCCTTCCAGGTGGCATTCGATTCTTACAAAACCCCTACACAACACATATGAATTCTGTTCCTTGATGTGGTAAGTCATTAGTGATTTTAATTATTATTATTATTATTATTATTATTTAATATAAGGATTCAAGAATCATGATTTATGTCACATAATACACTGTGTTTTGATCCCATGTTCAAATTTCTTACCATAAGCTCATTAACAGAAGAGTTTCTGGTTCAAAAATGGAAGCCTCAAGACATTCTGAGGTAAGTAGCACCAGAAAGGCTAGTATTTTTATGTGCATCATCTTACCACTCCATTTGATAATACATATTTGTTCCATTAAAATCCAGGCATCTAGCATCAAAGCTACATTACTTTAGCTGCTGATTTTCTTTCAGAAAAAGAAAGACCAGATAGCTGTTTCATCTGAACATCCAGTGGACATCAATGACTGGAATAAAGACCATGTGAGACAATGGATACTTGAGATAAAAGTGGATGAAGAAGATGCAGAGATTTTTTACAATCAGAGAATTAATGGAGCTAGTCTTCTCCTGTTGGAGGAAACTGATCTTTCTTCCATTCCAAACCTATCACTGAATGCAAAAAAACTGATTATTCACAACAAAGATCTTCTGAAACAAAATACTCAGCAGCAGAATGACATGGTGACTCAGTCTTGTAGCTTGAAGCCTTACCCTTTCAGCCGATTTAATGCTGCTCAGAGGTACAGAGAAAACAGCATTCTAGATGTGACTGAAACTGGTCCTAAAGACCTCATACAACCATGCCATGAATTCAAAGCCTTTGTAAACACAGCAGAAGAGGACAGAATGAAAAAATACACATATGAAGTCATTCGATTTGCAGCAGCTTGCATGAACAGCCGCACAAATGGCACCATTCATTTTGGAGTGGCAGATAACCCACATGGACAAATTCTGGGTATTTGTGTCCAGAAAACCGATGATTTTGATGTACAACAGTCACATGCAATTGAAAAACATTTCAAATTGGAAAGATCTGTTCAAATGGCAAAGAGGTGTATAAAACCCCCGCGATTTGTTGAAGTTCTCAATGCTGACATGACATCCACAGGAAAATGTGTTATTGAGGTAGACATAGAGCCATCCTCTATAATATGTGAAGACATTTATTTTAACACATATGAAGTAGAAAAAAATATCAAGAAACTCACAAATAAAGACAAGATGCAAGAGCCCAAAGCAACAGGGAAGAAGAGTGATGGAAAGTCTTTCTTTATAAGAGACGGCAGCAGCAGCAAGAATCTTATTACATCTGGTTCCTCAAAGGAGTGTGAGAAATACATCAAAGGCATGCCACATTTGTCCCAGTTGAGGAAGGACGCTGAAGAAAAGCATCTCTCTACTATCAAAATCAGTGTGCAAGGCCTTAAACTGTGTGAGATGATAACAGGAGGGACCCAATCTTTGGACAGGTCACACTTTGCATGGTACATTGTGGTGGCTAACAAGTCCCATCCTGTTCAGTTGGAAAACCTGCGTTTCCTTCTTCACATGAATCCAGTGGCTGTTTTGGATTTTGATCCAGAATCTGCTGAGTATGGCTTAAATAAGCTGTTTGAAGAGAGAAAAATCAATGTTCATTTACCAGCTCAGTTTAAAATCACAGGTGCAGTTGAAGACATAGCAAGCAAGTTAAAACTGACAAGAAATACAAGCTGGGTTTTCTGTAATGGAGGCATCAGTGAGGAAAGCCCCTCTGATGCTGATCACTGGTTGACTGAGAAAGGATCCTCCGTGCGTGATGTTGTTTCTTTCCTGTGCAGAAAAGATGTGCTGCCTCACAAGAAATTTCTCACCATTTTCTTGCTATTAAGTCAGGTGAGTGATGGAAAAGACCCTTTGCTTGAGACCTTCAGTATGTTTTTACAGGAGCTCAAGGGAGGAAATAAAATCTTATGCATCAGTGATAATAAAACATCATACATCTACTGGAAACAACTTATTGAGGGCCGATATGGAGTTGACATCTCAACAAGATGCATTTATGAGCTGAATTTTGCTGAAGTCAATGGCACCGTGCTCAGTCTGTGGTCAGAGAATCGCAAATCAAGCCGCTTTCTGCCTTGTGGTGGTGGCAGTAATGTTGTGCTGTCAAAGAAAACTGATGCATCCTTAGATATGCTGAGTGTTCTTTATGTGAACCAGTGTGATGGAGGAAATGAGGACAAACAACAACATGAGGAAAAATTTTACAAGGGAGGGAAGGTGTCTTGGTGGAACTTTTACTTCTCAGAACAGCCCGGGTCAATGCCATTCATCAAACGAGACAAATTCGATTACATCATCAAGTTTATTATTCCAGACATATGCAGTCGGAAGAGAGTGTGTGAGTTTTTCAACATCTTGCATCTTCCAGGCTGCGGTGGCACTACATTAGCCATGCATGTTCTGTGGACACTCAAGGATAAATTCCGTTGTGCAGTGCTGAAGGACACAACAGATGATCATACTGAAATAGCCAAACAGGTAGTGCAGCTATTAACATATGAGACAAACGAGCAACCTACACGACTTCCTGTTTTGCTAATGATCGATGACTTCCAAGACATTTGCGATGTAAAAAAACTCCAACTTCAAATTGAGGATGAGTGTCTGCAGCAAAACATTTTTTCAAAGTCTCCACAGGTCATAATTGTCAACTGCATGAGAGCTGAATCCAGTGAACAGACTGATGATGCAGTTTTCATCGGAAACAATTTATCAGAGAAGGAACAGGAACTGTTTGAGGAAAAGCTAAAGGATTTTAAGCGGACCAGCACAAACATTAAAACATTTTATGGGTTCATGATTCTGAAGAATAACTTTTCACCTAAGTATATTCAGGGTGTTGTGAAAAATACCCTGAAGGGTTTCAACTTCCAGGACAAACATGCCCAACTTTTTGCTGTTCTCGTCCTCCTGCATGTCTACTGCAAGAATGCATTGCTGTCGGTCTCTACATGTGAAGAGTTTCTTGGTCTGCAAACAAAAGCAGATTTTGAACTCTGCAAGGTCGAAGATGGATTTGAGAGGTTTTCCAATCTTTTGACAAGATGCACAGTCAATTCCAAAATTAGCTTTGAAGGTGTGTCAGTGATTCACCCAAGTATAGCTCAATGCTGTTTGAAAGAGCTTTCAGCTTCCCACGGGGTGACAAAAGCAGACATCATTAACCTTCTGCTCACAACAGACTTATTTTATGAGTATACTCTAGGAAAACAAAAATTAATGCAGGATGTTCACAGCATGTTGGTTAAGAGGCGATATTCGGCTCAGTTTGAAGACTCACTTTTTTCACCTCTTATCCAGGCAATAATGAAGGAGACCCCAGGGATGGAAGAAATTATTCTACAGAATGCAGCAAAGTGCTACAGAAAAGATCCGGTAATATCCCAGCTCATTGCCAGGTACTATTACATCAAAAAACAGAACTTTACCACAGCCATGAGTTGGGCAAAGAAGGCCAAAGGCCTGTCAAAGGACAACTCATACATATGCGATACAGTGTCACAGGTCCTTGTACGTGAGCTCAAGCATGCTGTTCACAAAGACAAAGATGATCCCATCAAGCCAGACAGTCTGCAGGAGTATCTTACATTGGCTAAGTCTGCAGGAGAAGCTTGCAATGAAACACAACAAACAGCAAACAAAGAGGCCATGACTCGATTGCAAAGACTAAAGGATTATAATACCTACAACACCGCTGGCCATCTTGGTGAACTTCAAACTGCAGCTGTTGTCATACAAATACTGCAAAAGACACCATTGTTTAACTGCCTTGGTCAAGTCCTATCAGGTAAAATTACCTTTAAAGATTTGTCAAGGACGAACCTTGAACTCAGGCAATATTACCACGTATTGCAGAAGCATACAAGCTATCTTCTTCAACTAAAGAGAACAATGAAGAATCATTTTTATTTTCTTGACAATTTTTTTGTCAATTTAGTACCCTTTTTTGCAGAGAAAGACAAACAAAAGGAACTGACAAAGCCCAAGGTTTCCAGGTACTTTCAACAGTATGCTGACCTCTTTTGTAAAATAAATTGGAGTGAGCTGGTCAACAATGAGCGCATGAACCGCATAGTTAAAATTGAGCAGACGCGCCAGTGTCTGGAGAGGAACAAGGGTGATTCCTATACCAGCCTTCTGGAATATTTATATGAGGAAGACTCTGCATTAGCTCTTGAAGAGATCATCCAGCAGTATGATTTCATTCTGAAGTTGAAAGAGGCCAGACACTTGATGGACACTGTCAACTTCATCTATGCCAATGTAATTCTGGCCAACATTAAACCTGATTCTCAGTACATCAGGCCCTACCAAGACCTTCGTAACTTACTACTTCAAATAATCAATTACCCCACACCTTTCAGTGAGATCCTGCCATTGCACTATATCACAGTGTTATTGTTACGGCAAGAGGAGGACTGTGGATTACCAACTTTTGTGTCACAAATGAAGTTGTCATATTTTAAAGACCTGAGACCTGTGTCTAATGGAAAGAGAGCAGCTGTCCATTTTTACTTAGGGAAGGACGAAGGTTACGGAGGCCTGATTTCCCATAGGGATATAAACAGCTGTTTAGGATCCGAGCAGAATATCTCAACTAAATGGGATGATGAAAAAATATGGAAGCAAGTGAGAGACTGTGAGAAACTTTGCAGAGTTTCTGGTAAAATTTGCCATGATTTTATCAGTGTTGCAGATGTGAAGGTCTATCCAATGTTCAGAAGCCAGTTACATAATGAATCTGGCACAAGAGTGTCATTCTTCATCGGATTCTCAATGAATGGACCAGTTGCACTTGACATAGACTTTGAGTCATAAGGTTCGCAAACCTGATCTAATGGATCTGACTGATGACCGGAGAAACATAAATGAGAAAGCTTTATAGATTTCCAGTTTAAAACTAAGACACTCAAGTCAAAGGAGCTCAAGCCCTGTAGTTGTTCATACGCATTAGTTTGGTTTGCCACATTATAATGTAAACCACTCTTTTACCATTAATGTTGCATATTATTGGACTTTTTTGTTTTTGTAGAAATGCCTCATTGTGTTTGATGTGAGCTTCATAAAAGTAATGGTTTATGTGAGAGGTAACTGAGAGTTTGGCCAACGCCAGTACTGCAATGACCTCCAGACAGCACACGTGCACCTGTGTTGTAATTCAGTTATATTAGGTTTATTTATTTTACTTTTTATACATTTTCTTGTTGCATTTTACTCATACATTGATATATTCATATACATTTACTCATTTATTATATATCCTTTATATTTAATTTACATTTATTTTACTTTAACTAAAAATAGGGCCCATTGGACTATGTTAATATAAAGGAATTTTCCGTATTGAATTATTTTTTGCACTGTGTTGTGTTTTAGGGTTGAAGGAAATGTTTATAAACTGAAGAGATACTGGTAATTTTCTGCCAGGACATTATCTGTTTTTTTTTTCTTTTCTTTCAATGTGCATTTGTTTTTTGATAAGTATTGCTATTGCTGTATAACAATATGTTGTATAAGAAATAATGTTTAGGCCTCAATGCCACGAGAATGTTACTCCATTCCCTTTGCTTGTGATCAACTTTGTGGTTAACACTTGTTTAACTTGTTTCTGTTAAGACAAAGGTTATCCAGTAAACTTATTTCTTATCACTTCCTTTCCTGACTTCTGCATTCCTCCTGAATCTAGTCATTTGAAGTCTGGTATATGTGTGTATTGCTTTTCAAAATTATTTCAAAGCAACTTTGCAGAAAATTGTGCCATACAACCAGTGTTGGGTAAGTCAAAAAGTAATCCACGACGAATCTACTACAAATTCTAGTTAAAATTCTTTAAAATGGTCCAGTTTTGTGTTTCCTCATTTATTGTCACACAACAGTCATGTTTATATTACCACAATATTTATTACAACTAAGATATCTTACTGTATAAAATAACTGAATAAAAATAATAGTCCAACTTTCCTCATTTAGACAGCTAAGACAGTTGTGTGTCCCCATAATTTATTGGCTAAATAAACGTACTAAACAATGCTTTATTAAAAATGTAATAAATAAATAAATAATATATATATATTCTAACAAATCGTTCCTTTAAAACAACAATGGACCCTTTTCACAAGACTGTTGTTTAACGGTCATCAGCATTGTAAATCCTCGAAAGTTTTTCATATTTGTATTTAAAAAAAATGTTATTTACATTTATAACACTATTCTTTGTATTATATCACCTTTGCATCAAATTACAAAAAAACAGTTAACGCTAATGCGAGGGTGTTTCTAATGCAGCGTCTATGGGAGGGACGCCAGATTTCAAATGTCAGTTTCACTTTTATTTTGTAATCCTACAAGACTCGTACTGCTAGTGACTTTTATTTTGTAATAACCAGAGGCGTCTAAATCAAGGACCTCCATACAGGCAGCTGATGATACTGCCGGCTGATACACTATTCATTAAAAAAAATAGATAAAGCAGTATTTTGTCGCTGCATGCAGGCTCGGATGGAACAGAGGATGTTTGCTTTTATTATAGTCAGTATAATTTGACGAATGTCGGTGGTATTTAAGGAGGAAATGTGTGGGTTTATGGAGGCAAAGCTTTAAATGAGGATCATGGCGTTTCCGGAGGGAGAATCACTCGAATCCTGGCTCAGTACGTGCATTATTATCATTTGCATTTCATAATGGGTGTAAATAACACTGCTGTGTTATGGCTTCACTGCATGCATTAATACCGTCTCGTCTGACGCTCTTGTTACAGCAGAATTTCGAATCATACTATGACGAAGAAATGCTCATTAAAATTAATTTTCTCATATTGACGTTGCCTGGTAACCTTCTCGAGGCTTCCAATTATGGTGCATAAATAATATCAAAGAGCCAAGGCTTCACCATAGTAGGATTCGTTAATTCGCCAGCGCCCACACCAGCGTCTGCCTTCCAGCCAATCAGATATGCCCGCTGTACGAACGTCACGGCTCATTATTAATATTCATAAACCAAGCCTTCACTATAGTATGATTTATAAATTCAGAGTGCGTGTTGACCGTCAAATCTGGCGATCATGAGTCCAGATTAAAGTTCAAACTCCGTGTTTAGCTTCATGGAGGATGAGTTCAGACCCAGAGCTTCAGGATTTACTGGAGCGATTACTAATTAGCCATTTAAATGATGATTTTATCTAGTGTGTCAAGTGTGTACACTAACCATGATAATACATTGATTTTTTAGACATGCGCCATGAGCATACTATGTAAATATAATTGTATGTCAATATGCTTATATCATAAATATATAGCATGTTTTGTAAATAACTTTTTCTTTATATTTTTCTTGAGATACTGGTGGTAATATTGATATGCATCCCTGTGATTGGCCCTCACACTGCTGTGCCAGTGTATCACAGACACAGAGCTCAACGGGGCCGATTGTTTGGTCCTTACGATGGTGTGTGTGTCCTCCACAGACAAAGCCACACACCCGACCAACAGGCAGGAGGACTGGGAATACATAATCGGGTTTTGTGACCAGATCAATAAGGAGTTGGAAGGGTAAGCATTGGTAAACCGATATGACTGAAAACTACAGGATTCTCTTCTCTAACAGTGTTTGTAGTCCTCAGATAGCTGTGAGACTACTGGTTCACAAAATCCATTCTCAAGAATGGGAAGCCCTTCAAGCTCTGACGGTGAGGGATGTTTTAACGCTAGTCCACCATTGCTGCTTTATGAGTTTTTCACAGATGATATGATGTTTATGTGTCTCTGCAGGTACTAGAGGCGTGTATGAAGAACTGTGGGCAAAGATTTCACAACGAAATAGCCAGATATCGTTTTTTAAATGAGCTGATTAAAGTGGTTTCACCCAAGGTTGGTGGTTTTTCTGCTATGACAGATTTTTTTGGGGGGTGACCCACAATTTCCTTTTTCAAGACAAGTAAAAGCTTTAAAAAAAATCACATGTTGGGTATTACTGACATATTTTATGTCGTTGAATAAAACGTGAAAATATCTTGAGCTTGTGTTCACTGCAGACCTTATTTCAGGCATTTATCCAAAAACCAATTGAATCCAGGATGACTCAACCAGAAGTGCAAAAATGCGATCTTGTTTCTGGTTTTAGGACTGCTTCATAGACATAAATGACTAATATGAAACATATGTTAAAAACTGTGTGTGTTTCAGTATATGGGGGACAGTGTTTCTGAAAAAGTGAAGAATAAGATCATTGAGATGTTGTACAGCTGGACGGTGGCGTTTCCCGATGAGGCCAAGATAGCCGACGCGTACCAGACGCTCAAGAGACAAGGTGAGATTTTACGGACAAACTTTCTGGAGTCTGTCATGAGCGGTTGTCTGATCGATGTCGGTTGTGTTTTCTTCAGGACTCGTGATGTCGGACCCAGAACTGACGGTGGACAAAACCCTGATCCCGTCCCCTCCGGCACGGCCCAAAAACCCAGTGTTTGACAATGAGGACATGGGGAAGGTAAGACGTCGGCAACGTTTGAATTTAAATATGCTGATTTAGAGGTTTAACTCAATGTGATTTCCATTTATGAAACTACAAAAATGATATTGTGTTGTTCTGTGATTTGATGGCAGTTGTTGGCTGAACTTCTGAGGAGCAAAAACCCGGAAGATCTTCAGGAAGCGAACAGACTCATCAAAAACATGGTGAAGGAGGTGAGAGGTTCTACAGACAGGATTGAGATATTGATCTGACGTTTAAAGATGGATGAAGAGCTCCTGTTTAAATTAACAAGAAACAGCATTTCCTTTTTTACTCCAATGAATCATTGATGGACATTGGGGATGAAGAAATCATTTTCAATGGTCTTTTTCAATGCAGTTAAAGAATTGCATGACAATTGAAGCATTTAAAGGGATATAAGGGAATAAATAAAGAAAAATAGTCTCTGATTTCATGTTGACTCTTAACAGTTCAAGGGTGGTTGCATTTGTATAAACTATATCAATTCACATTGATTCACACCCTGATTCTGGATCAAGTGTGGCGTAAATCATGTGATGGACTGAATCTGTGTTGTGCATGCAGGACGAGGCCCGAGTGCAGAAAATGGCCAAACGCAACAATACGCTGGAGGAAGTGAACAACAACGTCAAGCTCCTGAGCGAAATGCTGAGTCACTACGACAGGGACCGATCATCGGACGCCGACCGCGAGCTCATCAAGGTGAGATCAGACTCCGTGAACGCGACAAACAACATTTAGAAATGAGCAGACCAAGAAAATTTAAAGAAATGACTTGTAACTAATACTAAAGTAGAGTTCCTAAGCATCAGGTAGAGAATTCACTCTCCAAGTCTTGAGGTTTTGATGCCAGAAGATTTATTATCAGAGATAATGAAGCCGAGAGACTCTGCAGAGAATCTGACCAGTCTGTCTATGCATACTCTTTTATATAGGTTTCCATAAACAATACATATCATTCAGGCCACTATTGCTTATTAACTTTTGACCCCAGTATATATCTCCTCATGACAGCGTAACACAAAGAGGTCTCGGTTCATCACATGTCCGCACAAGATCATCACATGTTTTCTCTTAATGGTAACTCATCATATTTGAGCACACACAGTTGAATACATGACTATAATAGTAGAATAACTTATATGGTTATATTCACATTGATTGTGCTTCATTAATTCATATTTTGATTAATACAAATCTTGTACATTTGTTGCTGGAAACTAGTTTGATCATGGATCTCCATCGGCTTAGCCCTCAGATATTTCAAGTATTTCTGCTACAATTATGACAAAGCTGCTTTTTTCAACTTATTAATAGAGCTTATTAATAGAAACAACTTGGTGATAGAAACTGGGAGTATTTATGTCTAATTAACTAGATTCATTTTGTGATTCTAGAAGCTAAAAGAACTGTATTTTCTTCAATACAAACAATAGGTAGTGTGGGAAAATGGAAAAACTATCATTTCAGTTTTTATCTTGACCATGTGTTTTTGTTTTTAGCATTTTTATTTAGATTGTTTTAACATCTTAATAATTTATTATTTTAAATACTCATCCTGCAGACTCAACCCAGCAACTGGCTTCCTAGTTGAGAACCGCTGGTTTAGTAGCTGTAACCAGTTGGTTAGAGCTGGTCTACTAGGTTGACCTCAGCCCTGCTGGATGGTTTCCCAGCTGATCAACCACCTAAACCAACTCTAACCATTTAGAAACCTTGAAACTTAGTTCATTTTAGTTCTTGCAGGGTAATCATAGTTTACTTTGCTGGGACTGGGACTGTGCCTGTGGATTGTGCACTTCATGTCATTCTGAGGGATATTTCACTCAAAAATGAAAATTCTGTCGTCATTTACTCACCCTCAAGTTGTTCTAAATATGTTGGTAGCCAAACATTTTTACGGTAGACATCGACTTTCCGTACTATGGAAGTCAGTGGAGACCGTCAACTATTTGGTAACATTCTTCAAAATATCTTCTTTTGTGTTCAACAGAAGAAAAAAACTCATACAGGTTTGGAACAACTTAAGGGTCAGTAAATGACAGAATTGTCATTTTTGGGTATCTATCACTTTTTTTGGGTAAACTATCCCTTTAACCCAGCAGCTGAAATCAAACCTGCAACTTTTGCTTACCAGTCCCAAATTTGCAGTCCCAGTGAGGGTATAATAATAATAATA